GTGTGTGTGTGTGTGTGTGTGTGTGTGTGTGTGTGTGTGAGAGCATTAAACCTTAGCGGTCTTGTCAGCAGAGGTGGTGGCAAAAAGACATCTGTCCGGCGAGACGTGACAGGACAGAATGGCTCCTTGATGGGCCTCGACGTCTCGCAGTTTCTGTCCACTCTCAACGTCCCACGCCTGACAACGAGCAAAGGACGAGGGATTATTTACGGTGTGCTGCTGTTAAAATGTGGGGAGAGAGCGAGTTTCACCTTCACGGTACCGTCGAAGGACCACGACAGTAGTCTCGAGTCATTTGTTGAGTCGGAGAGCAGTGAGAAGCATCTGACTTGCTCCTTGTGACCCTGAAGTACTTTACACTCCCCTGACTGCCACTTCCACACCTACAGGGAATAACAAAGAGGGAAATACATCAACCACTTGACTGCCCTTATAGATAAGCAACAACACAAGACATATTATGCTGACACTTTTTATTAGACCAGAATTATAGAGGCAGTCTGTGAATAAACTTTGTACAGAGATATTTCTACCTTTTCATTATAGAAAGAAAAACCCACACATGCCACAGACTTAACTTGAAATTGACAAAAGCCATTATAAAAACAAATGAAAAAGTTAACTGATGATAATTAGTCATTGCTTTTGAATGGTGGTTTAGCAGGATTAATTAAAAAATAATTAAACTAGCCTTGAGGGGAAAAATGATGGTTGGTATTCTCAACTTAAAAAACTTTTGAGGCAATCGCTGCAATCAAGCACCATTTTCATTTCATTCGTTCTTTGATGGCAAACTGCTCCAGCTGTTTGAGGTTTGAACAGTTTCTTCTGCAGACAGCATCAGAGCTCAAAAGGGCACCTTGGAATAGTCCAGTGTTTTGTTTTTAGCCTTTTTTGTGTGTTTATAGCTGTGTGTTTGGGGTCATAATCCTGTTGGATAGTGACTTACTTCAGTATGATGCCTTGATAGTCTGGAGATTTTATTGTACCTGACATTCTACCTGAAGTTTTACAGCTTGTCAATATGAATTTTGGCTAATTCTAACTGTGCTTTTTTTTATTTTTTGCTTTCAACAGTGGTGTCCTCTTCTGTTATCATCCACTGATGTAGTTTGACATTGAAGTTTTTCTTTCTGTAGTAAATGGGTACAAATTTATCCATGTCTGTATAGCTCATCCTTTAATAGTTTGTAGGACCCGTTATTGTCTTTGTTGAACCTCATCAGCTTTTCGAATTGTTATGATGGGAATTTGGAGCCATTTTCCTAACAATGTTACTTCATTTCATTGAGGTTTGAAGACATTTGTTTATACACAGCTCTCAAATAGTCTCACCAACCAGCCTAACTCTTTTCTTTCTTATCCATTCTGCTACGGATTTGCCGATGTGCTTTGGATTATTCTGTTGCATGACCCAGTTTTGCCCATTTTATGAAGTTCCTCTGAGGGTTTATTTACCTAATTTTAAGTTCCAATAAGCAGATTTAAAGAAAAAAAATATATATACAGTATTCCTCCACTGAAATTCTTCCTTAAGAATGAGCGCTTTCTTGCATAATTGTACAACTATACACGTTTTAAACACACACACAAAAACCCCTCAGAGATGAAATTGTTATGCTTGTCTGAAATTCTCAGTGTGCTTTAAATAAAATATCAGCGTTTCTGTAACATACTTTGCTTTCTGCCTCCTGTGCACCGGAGCTAGAGCCACCGCAGAGTATTTCCAGTGACGACAACAGGCATCAGAAAGATTTATTGAACTTTTGTTTTAGTGCAACGTAAGAATTTTTTGAACACATGATTTTGAAAAACATAAAAGGAAAAAAATACTTATATTTTGTCAATTTTTTTTGTTTTTAAGTATCTTTGAATCAATGTAATTATATTTTCACTCATCTACACCACAATAAAACAGTTATTGCAAAATATTTCCTAATGTTTGATGCAGTTTTATACTTTCGGTGTAATTTTTATAATGGTATCTGCATGAAATCACTAGATGTTATGCTTGGAGTATGTGTTGTGATGACTCTCAGCTATTACCATTTCATATTTTAGTTTAACATCTTTAATTTTAATGGAGTTACAGACTTTTTTCTATTGTCAGCCATCTTGAACTGTATTGATTCTAAATGTCAGCCATTGAAGATGTCCATCTAATGATTATTTCCTGAAATTTTTAATCATTTCCCGGTTTGTGGTTTATTTTGCTAATAGACAGGGTTAAAGGCACAGTGTGTAGGATTTGTTGTTTTCAGCGACATCTAGTGGTTGAGTGGTTGAATCATCCTCCCTGGTCCTCCCCCCACCCCCACCCCCCGC